ATAGTTGACAGGTTGGAGCCGGTGTGCGTGGAAGCACGGAGATACTCAGACGAGAGGTACGTGGCTGGATGTGGCAGGCAGAGGAGTAGGCAGATGGATTCTGACGGAGAACACAAGGGTTAGATTCGGCAGGAACACAGAGAGTTAGTTTTACCATAAACTACATGTACCAAGTCGAATTACCAGCGAGGTGAAACGACGAACTGGTGAATACTGGATGAGAGGACCGGGCATATAAGCAGGTGAAGGTGAGTAGTGTAATCAGGATGATGAGCAGCAGCTGCGGAGGTGAGTTGGCGGGAATCAGAAGTGGGTCAGCCACACCCAGCCAGGGAGACAGACACACAGACAGACAGAACGAACATAACAAACATAAAACAAAGAAGAGAAGAAGGAGGGAGATACTGTAAATCCTCACAAAAAGTCCCTCCACAAAAGTCAGCCGGGGAAACTCATGCCAAAGTCTCTTCACACCCCGACTAGCATCTTTTAACCTCCATCTAGGGGGCCGTTGGCCATGCTCCAGCCAGGCCAAAACTTGTCCGATGTCTGCATCCTTTTGCTGGAGCTCCCTAATACCGGAGCCATCATGTGACAGAGTGAAGATTAGGGTCTGGTCCACTGAAGACCCTGAGTCAGGAGAAGGAGGGCCTGAAATCGGTCCCTGGGCTTGGGCCGTGGCAGGAGTCCCCACAGCACACACATCACTAGGACCACTGTCCCCAGCGCCAGGGAGAATTGTATTCAAGGGAGCGGATGTGGCATCGAGACTGCCTGAGTTCTCCAAAGCTTCAGGGGTGTCAGGCCTGCGTGAAAGGGCATCTGCATTTGTGTGTTTGGCCCCACTCTTGTGCACAATCACCCAGTCGTATGGGTCCAGCTCCAGAGCCCAACGGCTACGACGCCCCGTCCTGTCATTGTCAACCTGAAGTCGTCGCAGACCCAACAAAGGTTGATGATCTGTGATAATTGTGAAGGGGAGAAGACCCAAGTAATGCCTGAAATTACGCACTGCCCACACTATCGCCCACAGCTCCCTGTCGTAGGTGGACCAACGCCGTTCAGCTGCTGTGAGGGAGCGACTAGCGTAGGCCACTACTCTCTCCAGGCCATCCCCTTCTTGTGACAGCACAGCCCCCACAGCAATCTGCGAAGCATCTGTACCCAGCACGAAACTCTTGGTGAAGTCCGGGTGACACATGATAGGTTCGGCACAAAGACCATCCCGCAAAAACTCAAATGCCCCCTGGCAATCCGCCGTCCACTGAAAAGGGACATCCTTCCCTGTCAGATGGTTGAGGGGGGCAGCACGCTGGGCAAAACTCCTCACAAACCTCCTATAATAAGAGCAGAGACCCAGAAAAGCACGCACCTCTGTAGCGGACCATGGAACTGGCCAAGTCTTTACCTTATCTGTGTTACGGGGGTCAGGACGAAGCCCCCCGGCGGAGATGACGTGACCAAGGAATACCACGTGATCACGGGCAAGATGGCACTTCCTGGCGTTCAATCTAAGCCCAGCTGCCCCAATCCGAATGAAGACCTCCTCCAAAGCAGACATGTGGGCCTCAAACGAACTACTGTAAATTAGTATATCGTCAAGATACACCATGCAGATGTGCCATGGCAGCCCCCTTAACACCAGCTCCATAACCCTCTGGAAGGTAGCGGGTGCATTGGTTAGACCCATAGGCATGGATTTGAACTGGTATAGGCCCTGGCCAGTGGTGAATGCTGTCTTTTCGCGGTCCTCCTCAGCCATTTCCACCTGCCAGTAACCGTCAGAAAAATCCAAGGTGCTGAACCAGGAGGCCCCCGCCAATGCGTCCAATGTGTCATCCACCCGTGGCAGTGGATGAGAATCCTTTATTGTCACAGAGTTCAGTCCCCTGTAATCCACGCAGAATCGCCATGTGTTGTTCTTTTTCCTGACGAGGACCACTGGGGCGGACCACGGGCTACAACTCTCTTCAATTATGTCATCCTCCAACAGGCGCTGAACCTGTCTGCCTATCTCCTTCCGTTTTTCTGGCGAAGTACGGTAGGCCCGACGCTTGACCGGGGAATGATCACCTGTCTGTATGCAGTGTTTGATCAGACCGGTGTTTCCTGTTCTGCCCTTCCTAGAGCCGAACACCCCTTGGTGTTTCCCCATCAAGGCCTGCAGCTGCAGTCTCTGTTCAGCAGACAACAGGAAGCCAGCCACATCCGGCAGAGGGGTAGCCCCCTGCTGAGAGGGGAAAACCTCAGCGGGGGTGAGTAGATCACAGTCCTTAACATGGTGGAACACACCTAAATGGGAACCGGTGTGCAGCTTTAACTCCTTCTCTGTCGGGTTGAGCAGCCTTGCCACAGTGCATCCATTCTTCACCGGTGCAACTGTACGTGCAATCACAAGTCCCACGTTATCACGCACCTCAGGCTCCAGGTAGCCTAAGAAAGAGTCAATGGGCAGACCAGCAGTACGGGCAATATCCACATTAACTGGGACAATCATTTCACTGAAAGGGGGAATAATAGCATCAACAGACATTGATGTAACAACATTCTGGTATGAAATCTGTGGCATGCATGAGAGGAATATCAACATTCCCCAGGTGAAGCAGACAATGACCAACATCCATAACAGCTCGAGCCTGCAACATGAAATCAAACCCCAGCAGAATAGCTTGTGTTGCCCCTCGCACTACATGCACAGCCTGCTCCCTATGTTTGCCCCCCAACTGTATGGGAAGAGTCACAGTACCCAGAGTGTCCAACAATTGACCATTTACTGTGCGTGAAAAAGTGTACTGGGTATTTAGCACCCGTTTACGTAAGGCAGACGTGGACATTTTGAAGTCCTCAGAAATAAGTGAAACATTGGACCCAGAGTCAATCAAAACAGTAACATCAACACCCTCAACAAGTCCTCTAACATAGGCTGTGGGCTTAGACTCACCCACAGAACAAGAGTCCAATGCACGAGCAGGCGCTTTCCCAGCAGAATAGTCCATTTGACCATGTAGTGGTGAAACCGGCATCTGGGTCTCGACGCCAGTCACTGGAAGTTTCCCTGCAGCCGTCCGTGCGAGGATGGAGATGGTGACCGCCGAGAGGGAGACAAAAACCTCACTCCACGCCTTGGCTGACGTTCCCCAGCGCCGTGTGGTCCTTGCGGGACATCGCTGCCTGGTCGTCGTGGTGAGAAGTCCGCAGAGGTGTCTCGGGTTCCCCGCTCACGTGGAGACCATTCCCTGGCACCAAAACCATCCTGCGGTCTGCGCTGAGGAGAACGGCCCCTGCTGCGGTCGTCCCTGTGGGAATCACCGGTGGTAGATCTGCAACCAAACCCGCCACAGTCACAGTGGCAGGCACGCCGGTGCACCCTCTGCTCCACTTGGTCCTGCTGACGATCCCAGGTCAAGGCGGAGCTCCCTCTGCCATTCTCAGCTCCACGGTTATGTGCTCTCAAGTCTTTCACCTCAGTCTGTAAGTTGTCCACCTTCAAGGTGAGGCGTTCAACCACATTTATGAGCTTATCCGTGGTATTAGCCTTACAGTCGAAAACACCAGCCGATGGTGAATTTAGCGCTGCAGCAACAGCAGGATGCGGAGGACAGTAGGGCAAACCAGGCGTGTTCGACCTCATTGCCTGCCTGGCCCGCTCACAACGCCCAGCAATTATCAACGCCTCCTCCATATCAGTCGCCCCCTGTTCATGGCATTTTGCTTGAAGTGCAGGATCAAGGCCAGCCAAAAAACGTCTCAGCGGTCATAATCGGGAAACGCCTCAGCCACGAGTCTGGAAATGTCCGCCGCATACACCTCCAAACACTCGTTCGCCTGGCGGGGCCGTGCAGATACACACGTCTGGAAATAAAGCAGGAACTGTCTCTGGCCAAAAGCCTCCGCCAGCTTCTCCTTCACACGTTCGTAATCACCCTGCACATCTGCCGGCAAGCTGTCCCACAGCAGAAAAGCTGCACCGTCCAGTCTGGTAGGTAGAATGTTCAGCAAGGTAGCTGCGTAGCTCGTGCCCCTAGCACCCCTCGTCTGAGCACGAACAGCGGCTTCAAACTGTCTTATCCACGTAGCGAACTGCCTCTGGCCGTCGCCCCTAAACATCGGCGGCAGCTCCACTCATCACTACTCACAGAACCAGTCCAAGAAGCAGTACATCCGTTATAATCGTCTTCCATATCGCCGTCACTCTTCATTCCTCCGAACATGACGCTTCGACGCTAGCACCGTTAGCACAGCTAGCCAGCAGAGCCGACCAGAAAGTCCAGTAATTGTTCACAGAAAATAAAAATCCAAGAGCAGATAAAACACACTCCGATACCCTGCCACCAATGTAACGTCCGAGGTGTTAAGGCTTCAAGAATACTTCTGTGTAACAAAAACTCAGGAACTTAGTACTTTTTGGAGCGTCACAGATAGCGCCTCCGTTTATTTATCGTCGAGTCACACCACACTCTCTCTCACCACTCCAGGACAGACTGCGCATGCTCACAACACATGACCTCTCAACCCAATGCTTACACTAGTTAGCTAGCAGGACAGTTAGGCAAACCGTCAGTTTGGCAGTTGGTTAGCTTCTCTGCTGGGTTCTTGAGTTGAACAGTATTTTCCCTGGTTTCTTGCCATTTCTCTTTCTTTTTTTTGTTTCCAGGTAGGTAAATCCTTTCAACAAGTGGTTCTCCTTTCAACAAGTGGTTCTCCTTTCAACAAGTGGTTCTCCTTTCAACAAGTGGTTCTCCTTTCAACAAGTGGTTCTTCTTATCATTTTGTCAGAAAAGTCTCAGTTTATCTCATTTTAAAAACAGAAAAGTTAATATCTTCAGGAGCTCATGATGATGATGATGCTGTTCTCATCAATTCTCTCTCTCTCTCTCTCACCTGTCTCTCTCTCACCTGTCTGTCTCTCACCTGTCTCTCTCTCACCTGTCTCTCTCTCACCTGTCTGTCTCTCTCTCACCTGTCTCTCTCTCACCTGTCTGTCTCTCACCTGTCTACAGACATGCTGCTTCAGCCCAGCATCTCTGGGTCCTCCACCATGTACGGGGTCTCCGGGGCCCAGCAGCAGGGGGTCCAGGTGTTCAGAGGCTCCACCTTCAGCATCAGCTGCTCCATCCAGCCTCAGTACCCAGGAGGCTCCTTCCTGCTCAGCTCCTCCACTCACAACTACACCCAGCCAGCTGTCAATCACAGCGCCCACTTCCTGTTCCCGGCTGCAGAGCCCGCCCACCAGGGAAACTACAGCTGTGTTTATCACCTGTTGGTTCGCTCTCATAACTTCTCCTCAGAGAGCCGTCTGCTGTCTGTCACTGTCTCAGGTAAGCTCAGTGTCCACCTGTCTGTCTCTCACCTGTCTGTCTCTCACCTGTCTGTCTCTCACCTGTCTGTCTGTCACTGTCTCAGGTAAGCTCAGTGTCCACCTGTCTGTCTCTCACCTGTCTGTCTCTCACCTGTCTGTCTCTCACCTGTCTGTCTGTCACTGTCTCAGGTAAGCTCAGTGTTCACCTGTCTGTCTGTCACCTGTCTGTCTGTCACTGTCTCAGGTAAGCTCAGTGTTCACCTGTCTGTCTCTCACCTGTCTCTCTCTCACCTGTCTGTCTCTCACCTGTCTGTCTCTCACCTGTATGTCTCTCACCTGTCTCTCACCTGTCTGTCTCTCACCTGTCTCTCTCTCACCTGTCTGTCTCTCACCTGTCTGTCTCTCACCTGTCTGTCTCTCACCTGTCTGTCTCTCACCTGTCTGTCTGTCACTGTCTCAGGTAAGCTCAGTGTTCACCTGTCTGTCTGTCACCTGTCTGTCTGTCACTGTCTCAGGTAAGCTCAGTGTTCACCTGTCTGTCTCTCACCTGTCTGTCTCTCACCTGTCTCTCTCTCACCTGTCTGTCTCTCACCTGTCTGTCTCTCACCTGTATGTCTCTCACCTGTCTCTCACCTGTCTGTCTCTCACCTGTCTGTCTCTCACCTGTCTCTCACCTGTCTGTCTCTCACTTGTCTGTCTATCACCTGTCTCTCTCACCTGTCTGTCTCTCACCTGTCTGTCTCTCACCTGTCTCTCTCCCACCTGTCTGTCTCTCACCTGTCTCTCTCTCACCTGTCTGTCTCTCACCTGTCTCTCTCTCACCTGTCTCTCTCTCACCTGTCTCTCTCTCACCTGTCTGTCTCTCACCTGTCTCTCTCTCACCTGTCTCTCTCTCACCTGTCTCTCTCTCACCTGTCTGTCTCTCACCTGTCTCTCTCTCACCTGTCTCTCTCTCACCTGTCTCTCTCTCACCTGTCTGTCTCTCACCTGTCTCTCTCTCACCTGTCTCTCTCTCACCTGTCTGTCTCTCACCTGTCTACAGACCTGCTGCTTCAGCCCAACATCTCTGTGTCCTCCACCATGTCTGGGGTCTCCGGGGCCCAGCAGCAGGGGTTCCAGGTGTTCAGAGGCTCCACCTTCAGCATCAGCTGCTCCATCCAGCCTCAGTACCCAGGAGGCTCCTTCCTGCTCAGCTCCTCCACTCACACCTACACCCAGCCAGCTGTCAATCACAGCGCCCACTTCCTGTTCCCGGCTGCAGAGCCCGCCCACCAGGGAAACTACAGCTGTGTTTATAACATGGTGGTTCGCTCTCGTAGCTTGTCCTCAGAGAGCCGTCTGCTGTCTGTCACTGTCTCAGGTAAGCTCAGTGTCCACCTGTCTGTCTGTCACCTGTCTGTCTGTCACCTGTCTGTCTGTCACCTGTCTGTCTGTCACCTGTCTCAGGTAAGCTCAGTGTTCACCTGTCTGTCTGTCACCTGTCTGTCTGTCACCTGTCTCAGGTAAGCTCAGTGTCCACCTGTCTGTCTGTCACCTGTCTGTCTGTCACTGTCTCAGGTAAGCTCAGTGTTCACCTGTCTGTCTGTCACCTGTCTGTCTGTCACTGTCTCAGGTAAGCTCAGTGTCCACCTGTCTGTCTCTCACCTGTCTGTCTCTCACCTGTCTGTCTGTCACTGTCTCAGGTAAGCTCAGTGTTCACAGGAAGAGGATCATGTCTGTGTCTCTCTGATGCAGCTTTCACACCAGCGCTTTTCCCTTTCTAGCTCCTAGCTAGAGCTTTTCTGGTTCAGCTCCGGTTTCCCTTTTCAGCTCCCGCTCTGTTCACACCGCCCAGCTGCCGCTGCTGCGTCATGACGTCACCGTTTACATCGCTGATTTTCTCCCCAACGGAGCTCACAACAACAACAACAACAACAACAACGGGGGACTGCGTCGGGTCGATGATCGCGTTGCTTCTAATCATACGAAGCCAGATTAAATTAAATAACGACTTCTCCAACCTTATACTTTTCTCCAGAGTGCCGTGGTTCATTGTTTATTAATGTGTTTCATTTAGCGACCGCTGCAGTGCTGGCTGCTCTTCCACGGGAGTTTATTCTCCCGTTAGCTCCGGGTTAGCTCACACGGCTCTAAAGTATTCACTGTCTGACTGTCACACAAGCAGCTGATACATATCCCCAGTTCCCCTTAAGTGAATGTGTGTCAGTCTGAATTGACGCTGTTTGGCATCACAACGCTGTTATGAAAGTTTCTCTGGTATAACATGGGTGATGTTAGCATAGCAACCGAAGCTAAACTGACTACTTGCTAAGCCGTTTTCTACAGGCACTTTTTACCGGCGTATTTTTCATTATGATTCTACTTGTGATAGTCGGACATGACAACCTGTGCAGCCCATGTATTGATTCCATCCGATAGCTGGCCATCGTCCTTTACTTCTGCTACAAGGTAGGCATGTGTTCAGAGGACTGTGATGTGGGCCTGAAGAGGAGCAGTAATGGCGCATTTCCATTGCAGCGCGTAGCTCGCTTTAAGCGTGCCGTGTCGTGCCGTCCCCTTTTTTGGTTGTGCTTCCACTAGGCCTCGTTCCGGCGCGGCACGGCGCGGGGCCACTTTTTCCCCTCTTTTCTGGCCCTAGAAAATTGTGGTTCTATCGGGGCCAACAAACAGGGCTGAGTCGGGCTGAGTATGCTAAACTAGAGAGAGGAGCGCTGGCAAGAGGGCTAGAACTACAACAAGATGGACATATTTGACCGTGATTTAATTGTAATACACGTTTCAAAATGATGAAGTAACAACATACTGATACCGGTTAGTAAAAACCATGAATTAATGCTTTGTCAAGTCTGCAGACAGACGGCAGGCGAAAAACCTTTTAAAATTCGTGTTTTTCTAGATGGAGATTGGCTAAGCTAACGCAGTATATGCCCCGACCGTCCACACTCACAACAACGGCCTATACAGACATAAATAAAGCAGCGACTGTATTCACCATGACACAGGCAGTCTGTGGTTTGTACTTGTTTAACTTTTGTCGAGTTTCTGAACATATATAAGGAGCTGTGAGCTCTGAGTGCTCACAGCTAACGGCTGTGTTGTGTTTCTGGATTTCTCATTGAAGATGACGTCACGGCTCCGCCTACACTGCGTTACTACCCAGTTCCTAAACTGTAATGGAAGCGCAGCATGAAGTGAGTCGGCCCTGTTAAGGCCCAACGCGGCCAAGCCGTACCGAGCCGTACCGAGTGTGGCCGAGGCCGACCGTGTAGTGGAAATGCGCCATAAGTCACCTCTGTGCTTTCATGTCTCTGCAGGCCACCAGGGGGCAGCGCAGACAGAAGGACATGGAGCTGAAGAAAGTGAACCTGGCTGTTCCTGCATAGGAAGAGTAGCAGCTCCTCCTAAGCCATTTCTTGGTATGGCTGTAGCCTACCCCAGCCATACCCTGGCGCCGCCACTGATTATATGATGATTCAGCCCCTGCTCAGAGTACAGATGTCCTGATAGCAGAACTTCAGAGCTTCAAACCAGAGAAAATGTCAACTTTTTCTCAAAAATTCAACAATCTGACTTTTTCTAAAACGTTAAAAATTCGGACTTTTTCTCCAAAAAATCTGACTTTTTTCAAAATCTCAAAATTCGGACTTTTACTCAAAAATCTAAATGTTTTCTTTGTGAAAATCATTTTTTCTTTTTAATAACAATCAACAAATTCTGAGAAATGTCTTAAAACCACAGAATTCTGACTTTTTCTCAAAATTCTGTCTTTCTCTCGAAATCTCAAAATGTTGAACAAACTTCAAAATGATGTCTTTTGAGTTCTGTTGTATTTGTGATGGAGTTTTTGCTTAATTGTCTGTTTTTGCTTGTTTTTAGGAAGATTTGAGTTTTGTAATTAAAGGAACATTATTTCTGTTTAATTTAGGAATTTATCTGATTTCATCAAAAAGGATTTTGATATATATATATATTTTTTAATACTAAATGTTCTTTACAAATTTACTGAATTCTTAAATGATATTTTCATATTTTTTATATTTTAATATTTTTGCTTATTTGATAATAATTGAGCTCATTTCTCTTAAGGATTTTTGTATTTTGGTTTAATTCAAACATTTTGATTAATTTGGTTTTTAAAGATTTTGTATTATTTTGTTTTCTACCAAATTCTTTAAAAAAAATGTATTAAGTTTTTGTTTGTTTTATAAGAATTTCACAAAACTCTGTTCCTAAAAGATTTGCTGAATTTATTCATATTAAGGATTTTGCTTATTTTATAACAATTTAGCTTATTTTTTGCTTATTTGAAAAGAGTTTTTCTCCGTTTTGAACTAAAGGAATATTAATTTGACATAATGAATTTAAACATTTGTCTGAATTGATAAGAACGTGTCATTTGAGAGGAAGGGTCTGATATATATGAAGAGGTAAATCAGGTTAGATATAATGAGGGAACATGGAGAAAGACGTATAATGATGAGAACATGTGAATAAATGAAGCCCTGCACACAGACCTGAGATCAGATATCAGAGATCACAGAGATTATTTTCTATGTTCAATCAATTAACGGTGAAACTCTGCATGCTTTCAGTTTCTTCTGCACAGAACATACACATGGGACCAATTGTTATAAAGAGCACTTGACCTAAGCTATGTGAATATAACTAACTTGGTAGAATCACCAAATGCTGTAAAATAGGGAGAAATGTCAGTCATTTAACGGTTAGATATTGAAATTCTGATTCCATAGATGTGTCTCCCATCATCTAAAACCCCTGAATATTCTCTCAACTCAGTATTTACATTCTTTAATTCAAAGAAAATCAATAATATCTTTAAAAACTACAACTCCCTTTCTATCATCTGTGCACCGTGATGCAAAACGACACCATATTTGTAGTTTCCTTTCGGTATGCAAAGAGGTGTTGTGATAAGGGTTTTAAAAAGCCTATCGACCGATTGGATCAAATATAAAAGTCAGCTGAATTAGTGTTGATACTGCAAGGAGACGTATTGTGTGAAGAGAAATGTAAGATGTTTAATTGCTGATATATTTAAGATCCACGTCATGTATTCAGTTTCTGTGGCAGTGCTTCCTGTTTGTCCAGAAGTCTTCTCAGCAGGGCTCTATGAATACAGAACTACGGCAGATGTTAGTATTTAATGCAGCCGAACCGTGTATTACAATGCCGTTATGTGATGACCTCCAAAGAGAAAAGCAAGCACACTCAGAATCATTTGATTTTTTTAGAAAACATTTAGTTTTTATTATCGTATGAGCTACGACTCCCGAGTTGCATCACCACTAAAACATCCAATCACGGAGCTTGTTGACTAATCACGAGGTTTGTCAAGCAAAGACGACTGGCAGCGTCTACCCAACGATAGCTGAGGATTATGGGTAGTGTAGTTTCTTCGGCTATCTGAAACTCAGAAAAATCTATTTGTTTTCAGAATCGAAGAGCAAAACACAAAAGTATTGAACACAATTTAAACCAATCAATGTTGTGTAAATAACAAAGACTAACTGGCTTTTCTGAGTTGATGAGTAGTGCACATATAGATATTTAGATAATAGATATCAATAGGAAAACATAACGTAGCCATGTCAAGAAGCTGGCAAAAGAGAGCCTGAAATAACCCTTGACCTGGCTGCTAAGCTAACAGCATGTCCTGAGATACTCACACAGATTTAAACTAACCTACGACCAGATATTGTGTTTTTTATAGCACTTATTTTCTTTTTGAGGAGCTCAGAGCATCTTTGGAAAGTGAGAAACAAGAGGTTTATAACTGGTACTACATGGTGGTGGATAATGTCATGGATCATTTAGCACTATTCTTCTTCCTCAGTTTCCCTGCAGGTACTGAGCGGAGAAGACCTCCAGCTGAGTCTCCAGCTCCGTCGCTTTGTTCCTGAAACACAAATGAAACATACTTTTAATTTATTTCAAATGAGTTATCGTGTATCATATTAGCAGCGGCGCTCGTGAAGTGAATAAGGTGGAAACACAGGACGGATTCATTCCTGCGTAACGTTGGCCCTGCACTGAAATAAACAACATCTCAAATCTGCCGTCTGTGATTGGTTGTACCTCGTCACATGACAAACCATGCACACTTCCTCGAGTAAACAATACGGCCCTTATACAGGTGCATCTCAATACATTTGAATATCGTGGAAAAGTTCATTTCTTTCATTAATTCAATTCAAAAAGTGAAACTCATATATTGTATGGATTCATTACACACAAAGTGAAAGATTTCAAGGCTTTATTTGTTATAATCTGGATGATTACGGCTTACAGCTAATGAAAACCCCAAAATCAGTATCTCAGAAAATTAGAATATTGTGAAAAAGTTCAATATTGTAGACTCACGGTGTCACACTCTAATCAGCGAAGGTTTCCTGAGCCTTTAAATGCTCAGTCGGTCGAGCATCTGGTTCAGAAGGCTTCACCATCATGTGGAAGACTGCTGACTTGACAGTTGTCCAAAAGATGCTTATATTATGATAAAAGCATCTATGAAAACATAAAAACTAAAGTAAAATACATGTTCCCAAAGCAGACAGATAGCAACAGGTCAAGGCACATAGCAACAGGTCAAGGCACATAGCAACAGGTCAAGGCACATAGCAACAGGTCAAGGCACATAGCAACAGGTCAAGGCACATAGCAACAGGTCAAGGCACATAGCAACAGGTCAAGGCACATAGCAACAGGTCAAGGCACATAGCAACAGGTCAAGGCACATAGCAACAGGTCAAGGCACATAGCAACAGGTCAAGGCACATGTACAAACAGAGCGTTGTAAAGTGCACATTGTGTCAGTGTTGACAGAGCTGATTTTCCACTAACCATGTTTTTAAGTTAGATTTAAATAAACTGCAGGTGTTTTGTTCTCTAATCTTTTCTGAGCCTTCCTGGTGTCAAGCCACTCCTGAACCAGAGACAACGTCAGAAGCGTCTTACCTGGGCTAAGGAGAAAAATAAATGGTCTATTGCTCAGTGGTCCAAAGTCCTCTTTTCAGATGAAAGTACATTTTGCATTTCATTTGGAAACAAAGGTCCCAGAGTCTGGAGGAAGAGTGGAGAGGCACACAGGCCAAGTTGCGTGAAGTCCAGTGTGAAGTTTCCACAGTCAGTGATGATTTGGAGAACCATGTCATCTGCTGCTGTTGGTCCTCTGTGTTCTCTCAAGTCCAAAGTCAACGCAGCCGTCTACCAGGACGTTTCAGAGCACTTCATGCTTCCTTCTTCTGACAAGCTTTATGGAGATGCTGATTTCATTTTCCAGCAGGACTTGGCACCTGCTCACACTGCCAACAGTACTAAGACCTGGTTTAGTGACCATGGGATTACTGCGCTTGATTGGCCATCAAACTGGCCTGACCTGAACGCTATAGAGAATCTATGGGGTCAAGAGGAAGATGAGAGACACGAGAGCCAACAATGCAGACGAGCTGAAGGCCGCTATCAAAGCACCCTGGGCTTCCATCACACCTCAGCAGAGCCACAGGCTGATCGCCTCCATGCCACGCCACATGGACGCAGTCATTTGTGCCAAAGGAGGCCCAACCAAGTACTGAGTGCATACACATGAACATACTTTTCTGAAGGCCGACATTTCTGTATTAAAAATCCTTTTTTTATCGGTCCCCTTAACCCATAAGAACCCGGACCCATTTCTACTTTTGGGAAAATTAAGGGGAACATAATTTAGACTAAATGGACGACCTAGAACACATTTCTGACAAGAAACCCCCCTAGTGTCACATATCTGAAATGTGACATATATGTCCCATTGGGCTTTAATGGTAAAATAACTCTTATATATAACTTAATTAATGAGGATGATTTTTTGGTTTAAATTAGTTTGAGCATTCTTTGAATTGAAGAATAAAGAATATATTAACTCAATATAATTGAATCAGCTAAATGAACTGAGCAGATCATAATCATATTTCTAATTGTGCATATGTGTCACTCCGGGTTTACTGTGAAAGTTTAGGGTTAAAGTCCCGATCAGTGTCACAGCGATGTTGGTCTCATTTGTTTCATATCAATTTGATCAATAAATGTGTCCACAACAGGTTCAATGTAATAAAGGACATTTTCATTCTTAAATGGCTTGAATTTTACCTTTAGCAACAAAAAACAAGCTTTTGAAATGTAGCTAGTTCTGTCACATGTGTTAGTCTGGCACATGGACATCTTGGACATGTTGCCATGGGAACACAAAGTCACATGACCTGGACCAGGACCCACCAGACTGCTCAGGGTGTGTCACTTAGGGACTTTATGGGATAAAATAAAGGCTGAACTTTCCAGAACATTTAAAGTTCATGTGACTTTAAATGTCACATGAACTTTAAAGGACCCATAAATAACCCATAAGGACCCACCGTGTCATGGTGGGTCCTTATGGGTTAATATTCTAATTTTCTGAGATACTGATTTTTGGGTTTTCATTAGCTGTAAGCTGTAATCATCAAGATTCAAACAAATAAAATGTGAGTTTCACTTTTTGAATTGAATTAATGAAATAAATGAACTTTTCCACGATATTCTAATTTATTGAGATGCACCTGTATAATAAAGGTTAGGTAACGTTAAAGGTGGGGTAGGTCATTTTGAGAAACCAGCTGGAGTGCGCTAGAATTTGAAAATACACAACCGGAGAAAATCTGCCACTTCCTCACAGAGCCCCTCCTCCAACACACACGAACGCGCACATGACCAATGAGGGCACGAGATAAGTTTGTGCACAGATGGAAGGCTGACAGGCAGGTAGGCCATCCAGTTATTTTAGCCGGGCTGGCTCAGATGATTGGTCGTGCTTTTTACAGTACTACAGCTTCCACAGATGATATTTATTATGGATTTTTTGTCAAAGCACTTCAGATATTCATTGCTATCAGGATGTTAAGAGCATTCCATGGAATATAACAAAAAGTGTATCTCGAGACGGTTTCTCAAACTTACCTACCCCACCTTTAAGCAGAAAATAACATAAATGACTAGTTTGTTAATTTACTGACGGAATTAGCTTAGTTAGCTAACGTCAGATAATGTTGGGCGTGATGACGATTAGTCGTCTCATTTAGACAATTGTTAGCAACCTAAATCCCCCAGTGGGGTATTTACTCCCTTATGTTATGTCTTAGAACAAAACGTTGAAGTCTCTTCAGTTTGTGTTAACGACAGACCTTATTTCAGGATACAACCAAAAACACAGAGAACCATTGACCTCCAGACCAGGAAGTGATTAAATGCTGACTCATGTCAGCGTGTTAGCTCTTATACTGCTGACTCATGTCAGGGTTCAGGACTCATAATGCTGACTCATGTCAGGGTTCAGGACTCATAATGCTGACTCAGGGTTTAGGACTCATCATGCTGACTCATGTCAGGGTTTAGGACTCATAATGCTGACTCATGTCAGGGTTCAGGACTCATAATGCTGACTCAGGGTTCAGGACTCATAATGCTGACTCATGTCAGGGTTCAGGACTCATAATGCTGACTCATGTCAGGGTTTAGGACTCATAATGCTGACTCATGTCAGGGTTCAGGACTCATAATGCTGACTCAGGGTTTAGGACTCATCATGCTGACTCATGTCAGGGTTTAGGACTCATAATGCTGACTCATGTCAGGGTTCAGGACTCATAATGCTGACTCAGGGTTCAGGACTCATAATGCTGACTCATGTCAGGGTTCAGGACTCATAATGCTGACTCATGTTAGGGTTTAGGACTCATAATGCTGACTCATGTCAGGGTTTAGGACTCATAATGCTGACTCATGTCAGGGTTTAGGACTCATAATGCTGACTCATGTTAGGGTTCAGGACTCATAATACTGACTCATGTCAGGGTTTAGGACTCATAATGCTGACTCATGTCAGGGTTTAGGACTCATAATGCTGACTCATGTTAGGGTTTAGGACTCATAATGCTGACTCAGGGTTTAGGACTCATAATGCTGACTCAGGGTTTAGGACTCATAATGCTGACTCATGTCAGGGTTCAGGACTCATAATGCTGACTCATGTCAGGGTTTAGGACTCATAATGCTGACTCATGTTAGGGTTTAGGACTCATAATGCTGACTCAGGGTTTAGGACTCATAATGCTGACTCATGTCAGGGTTCAGGACTCATAATGCTGACTCATGTTAGGGTTCAGGACTCATAATGCTGACTCAGGGTTTAGGACTCATAATGCTGACTCAGGGTTCAGGACTCATAATGCTGACTCATGTCAGGGTTAAGGACTCATAATGCTGACTCATGTCAGGGTTTAGGACTCATAATGCTGACTCATGTCAGGGTTCAGGACTCATAATGCTGACTCATGTCAGGGTTTAGGACTCATAATGCTGACTCATGTCAGGGTTTAGGACTCATAATGCTGACTCATGTTAGGGTTTAGGACTCATAATGCTGACTCATGTCAGGGTTCAGGACTCAATGCTGACTCATGTTAGGGTTTAGGACTCATAATGCTGACTCATGTCAGGGTTTAGGACTCATAATGCTGACTCATGTCAGGGTTTAGGACTCATAATGCTGACTCATGGTGTTAGGTGTGGTTCCTGCAGATTAGCTCGGAGGTGCTACATGAGTTAGCGTTCCCCTCTGACCTGAAGGCCTTGGACTTCCTCTGGATGTTCTCCAGCCTCTGGGTCCTAAAGCTCAGCGTCCGGATGTTCCCCTCCAGCTCAGCCTCGCTCAGATCCACGCGCTGCGTCAGCCGGCTGAAGCTGCCCGACAGCTCCCTGAAACACGGGTCATCAGACTTCAGTAAGCAATTCAATATATCTTACATAAAAACAATCCTGCAACACGCCAACAGTGTCCGGAATTGATTCAGCATCTTTAACAACATCCACAACCGTCCAAATCAGCCATTTTTTAAATTGTTGTCTGTATATTCTATAATGCTAATAAACCTATCTTATGCTAATAGAGTGAATGTCCCGACATGCAGGTTAGCATCCAGCAGTTTCTATGAGCTGGAGACCCTCCTCTACATCTCTATCAGAACACTCTGGGGTCTCATCACCTCCAGGTTCACATCAGGACTCGATCTAACTGTGTACAACACATCTCCTCTGGAGGAGAACTCTCCGCTTCTCTTGGAAACTGGACTTAAATCACACTGTACATTTTACATTTATGTTCAATCTAATATTTAATAATCCATTCCTTGCACAATTAATATTAATATAATATCCTGCTTATATTTTGTTACTGTACATTTGTATTTCCACATGTATATTTTCCACATGTATATTTGTTACTTTTGTAATGCTATTGTATTTGTGTTGTTGGGATGTGGGGCCTCACTTGAACACCTGCTGGCTGCAGGCGGCGCTGCAGGCGGGGGCCACGGCCCTCAGGCGCCGCCCGCTGAACTCCACAAACTGAGCCTTCAGAGCTCGCTCCCTGCTGGCGTCCGTCCACCAGAACCTCTCATAGAGGAAGAGCAGGCCGTACAGAGAGAGGGAGACGGAGAGCAGGCGCCAGCCCACAGAGCGCCACACCTGGCAGAGACAGGTACAAGTACTCACATCTGGTGCTTAGTTAGAGTACAAGTACTGACATCTGGTGCTTAGTTAGAGTACAAGTACTCACATCTGGTGCTTAGTTAGAGTACAAGTACTCACATCTGGTGCTTAGTTAGAGTACAAGTACTGACATATGGTGCTTAGTTAGAGTACAAGTACTGACATATGGTGCTTAGTTAGAGTACAAGTACTGACATATGGTGCTTAGTTAGAGTACAAGTACTGACATATGGTGCTTAGTTAGAGTACAAGTACTCACATCTGGTGCTTAGTTAGAGTACAAGTACTGACATATGGTGCTTAGTTAGAGTACAAGTACTGACATATGGTGCTTAGTTAGAGTACAAGTACTGACATATGGTGCTTAGTTAGAGTACAAGTACTCACATCTGGTGCTTAGTTAGAGTACAGGTACTCAGGTCTTGGACTTGAGTAAAAGTAGAAGTACTCAGATCTGGTACTTTAGTACTGGGACCTGGGTAGAAGTACTCACACCTGGTACTTTAGTAAAACTAGAAGTAATCAGATGTGGTACTTGAGTAAAAGTAGAAGTAGTTAGCATCTGAGAATGATTGTCACTATGGATTATTCTGCACATTTTATTCTATATTAACTGTTTGATGGGCACGTGAAAATAAAGAAATAAACACCATGAAAAATGTCAGAACAAATATAAGAAATGATTAAATAATAAAATGACTTTTGTTTCCCTGCAGACATTTGAATGCCTGGACTTATTCATAATAATCAGTAATAATGAGATGCGCACCACGCCGCCGATCACCAGCACCGTCATGGACGCCCGCGACGTGACGGACAGTAGCCCCGTCGCCATGGAAACCCTCATCGCATCCTTTAGGGTGGAGCCGTCCTGCATCAAAAATAAATCTAAGTCTTTATGCAAGTTCTTTAAAAAATCAATGAAATTCAAGACTTTAATTAATTTTAAATCTAAAAAATGTGCTACTTTTTAAGAAATTAATAAAAGGACATTTAAAAAAAGGACACAAAAAGACACAAATGATTTACAAAAAAAAAAAAAACTATTTGCAAAATGTATAGGAATTGATAAAAGGAAAAAAGACTTTGACACAAATGATGCTGAACAACAGAAATGAAAGATGAATAAATAATAACTGTTGTGAAAATCCAGAATGTCCTCTTCCAACATGAGAGCAACATGCTAACAAAGGTATCCCAGCTGTAGCTGTGAACATGACAGGATGTATGATTACCTAGAAGAGCATCAGGACTGTTTGAGGCATATGATAGCTATGTGATTAACATGATGATTCAGCCTCTATGGAGATAGACATATGACAAGCATGCTCATTTCTGACGTGGAGCTAATCTGAAGTAAACATTGAATACTGCTTTCTATTCCTCCATCTTGTGACTGTGTAACTCCCTCTCTTGGATCAGCATGTGAAGGACACTGTTCAGGAACTAGTTGATGCTCTGTATGTGATGACTCCTTCCATTCTGGAGAGGATCACAGATACATGGATCCTGAGATTGAAGCTCAAGCCGGAGACCAGGGAGAGTTCTCTAACAATAAAAGCAGTAATAATAATGATTATTATGAATATTAATAATATGAATAAACATGTATGGTGTTTGCACCTCGCTCAGCGCCCGCTTGGCGCCGGCCGCTCCGATGAACCGGGTGACGAGCGCCGTCCAGCCCAGAGAGAACTGGAAGTCCAGGTTCTCCTGGAAGTCAGCGCAGAGGGCGGCGAGGCCCAGGTCAAAGGTCAGCTCGAAGGAGAGGGGGGTGGCGGACAGCTGATCGGGGGCCGACAGCAGAAGACGTACACCGTCTGCAAACACATCATCACATGTTAGATGAAATGAAAATAAATGAAAATAAATGAAAATAATTTATTCTTTTTTTTTTAATAGAAAAATAAATAATAATAATTAAATCAAATTGAATTGAATTAACATAATTAAACTTCCTGTGGAAACATCTTGTGACCACAGCGTACCGGTCATGTGACTGAGGTCATGTGACTGAGCATACCGGTCATGTGACTCTGAGGTCATGTGACTGAGGTCATGTGACTGAGCGTACCGGTCATGTGACTCTGAGGTCATGTGACTGAGCGTACCGGTCATGTGACTCTGAGCCTCTCTGATGTCCTGCAGGATGCTGATGCAGCGCTGAGAGAGACACGCCTCCATCCTCTGCTCCACGTGCTGCAGCAGCTTCTGAACACACACACCGTGCAAACAACAACACACACACACACCACACACACATTAACACACACACCATGCACACAACAACACACACAAATGGGGCGCAGCCTGCGAGCTAGTTCAGGCAGTCAACTCGAGCACCAATGATACATTAACACGTGACGCACCTCGTCCCTCTTTCAACCAACCAATCACATTCTCCTAAACATGCCGCTCTATTGAAGCTGCCAGGTCTTCCTGCCTCTGCCTCGCTCATGCTGCTGCTGCTGCTGCTGTGTTCACTTGCTATTGCTACGTTCATGTTCCTGCTGCTGTGTTTCATGTTGCTGCTGCTCGCCTGCCCCACCACCACCCCAGCTCCACCCCAGCTTCCACCTGAGCTTCCACCCCAGCTTCCACCCCAGCTTCCACCCCAGCTTCCACCTCAGCTTCCACCTGAGCTTCCACCCCAGCTTCCACCCCAGCTTCCACCCCAGCTTCCACCCCAGCTTCCACCCCAGCTTCCACCCCAGCTTCCACCCCAGCTTCCACCCCAGCTTCCACCCCAGCTTCCACCCCAGCTCCACCCCAGCTTCCACCCCAGCTTCCACCCCAGCTTCCACCCCAGCTTCCACCCCAGCTTCCACCCCAGCTTCCACCCCAGCTCCACCCCAGCTTCCACCCCAGCTTCCACCCCAGCTTCCACCCCAGCTTCCCCCCCAGCTTCCACCCAGCTTCCACCTGTAGGCTCGGGGGATAGTTATCTAATCATCACTCAATGTTCTTTGTAAATCTGTGGAGTGATGAGGCCCGAGCCTAGACGCCAGTGTTGTAGTCAAGTCACCAATTAACGAGTCCAAGTCACTCTCGAGTCACGACTCTTCGAGTCCAAGTCCGAGTCACCCAAGGAGTGTCCGAGTCAAGGGCGCCGGAAGCGGGGGGGCCAGGGGGCCATTGGCCCCCCCACTTTTCAGCCCTGCCCCACATTTTCAGAATATTAAACTTGTTTTGGCAAATTCAGATGATAAATACAGCTTTGAAGCTTGTAGACATAATTACAAGCAACGGAGTAACGTAACGTCACTGCAGGCATAACAGCCGGTGTTTCTCCTGAGTGTTTTCCCCGGGAAACAAACACAATACACACAAACGCAAAAATACACAAACGTATATACACTCTCACTCGCGGGCTTCCCCTATCTTCCCTTCGTACTATTTTGATCATTTGCTCCGCTAATAATCAATCAGATGGATCCAGAGAAGAGGAAACTTTAAAGGCCTTTCTCTCAAAATGATGACTCTGTAACAGTCATTATATCATGTGACATATTTTGCTTAATATTTGGAGTACAAAAACAATCCTGATATCATTAGAAAGCTATGAATCTCCTCTTTCCAGCAGTGTATACAACTCAAAATGTGTCTTCGGGTCAATGCGACTGATTTCAATGGAGCAGGTCACTTTGCATTAGGTAAAATAAAGCAGGCAGACATAACAGGAAGAATATGTACATTTTAACCCAATCAAATAGGACATTGTCACACCATTCAAATGTATCCATGTAAATTACAACCAATAAAAAAGCTTAGATGTGTTTATTCGTTACGTTGTTTACTTTATTTGTTACGTTGTTCTGTGTGTGTCCGCCGTTAACCTAGATAGAAAGAATATATACACTTGCAAACACGTCAGAAGAACCAGCGCAGAAGAAAACTAAATACAGTCAATCTAAACTTAAATTAACAACTGGAAGGTCACATCCCTGACATCCACGTCTCCGGAGCCTGGACCTTCATCAATCATAGAACCAGCGAAGCCAGATGAACCCAAAAGCAGCAGCTCTGCGGCCGCAGAGACTGTCAAAACCGCCGCCACCGCCGTCGTTGTTGGTTCCGACTGAATGGAGGTTTGTTGTCGGGACATTGAGACGGGTAAAGCTGCAGCTAACTGACCGCTAGATCGTCTGGGCAAAGAGAAATGTACTTCAACGCAGAATGGTACAAAAACAGAGAGTGGTTAATTCTTTGCAAAACCACTAAACGGGCCTTCTGTGAAATATGCAGATTTGCTGTCAAACGGCTTGTAACTTTCTCAAAATGTGGAGATGATAGCTTTGTTAATACCGGGGTTAATAACTGGAAAAAGTGCCCAAGCCTCCTGGACAGCCACGAAAAGTCTAATTTCCACAGAGTGTATTAAAAAAAAGTGCGCTTTCTTCAGTCAAACACCAGTCAACATACAGCTTGTCAAACAACAGCGTATTGAGCAGGAAAAAAGAAGAGATGGAATGATGGAGCAACTGCGCTGTCTGCAGTTTCTAACCCGACAGAGCAATCAGGGGCATGCGGATAAGGAGAGCAATTTCCAAAAGAACTCGTAGCTAAGAAAAACCCCACTCTGAAAAGCTTCATGCTCACCGGGAAATATGCATCATGAGACAATTAATGAACTTATAAATCTAATGTATCGGGAGTCTCTCTCCACTATATTAACTGACATTTAAAAGCAATGCAAAACATGCAGTTATTGTGCTTCCAGCAAACATCCACTGATAAACTGCGATGTTAACAACCTCATGATAACCTCATATGTTTTTAACTGAGGATCTACCTGTGGTTAGTCTAGAAAAAGGTAAATGTGTGCATTTTATTATAAAGTTGTGTATATAGACTGTTGCAAAAACTAAGAAACTTATAAACATCAGGTTTAAAACTAAAAGTAACACAATTAGAGATGTTTGGAGTTTTATTTTAGTTATTAATTTACATTTTTTGTCAAAGAGATGCTGATTTGATACCGTTGATACAGTTACGGCATTTCCTGTTTCTGCCGGAGAGAGGGGAGTTTGTCCCAAAGCTTGCCGCTGTATCTACTCCCTCCATCTGACAGGAGGAGCCTCATGTGTCACTCCACAGAGTTCACTCCGTCACGGAGGGGGAGTGGGTAGGGCGTGGTTTGGGATTGGGCCATACACACGCACTTTTTTGGCCCCCCCACTTCTAAAATGAATCCGGCGCGCCTGGTCCGAGTCGAGTCCGAGTCATCACTACCTGTGTTCGAGTCCGAGTCCAAGTCCGAGTCACCTAAGAAGAGTCCAAGTCCGAGTCACCTCAGAAGAGTCCAAGTCCGAGTCACCTAAGAAGAGTCCAAGTCCGAGTCACCTCAGAAGAGTCCAAGTCAAGTCCGAGTCACAAGTCTTCATGTATTAATCTTCGTGGATATATGTGTTGAAATGTAGCTGCTCCTCTACATTGCTTTTATCCTGTCATGTTATACTAATCTGTCTATTGAACTGCTGTGAAGCCAGTTTGGCTACAAGTCTTGTAATAGGTGCTATACAAATATAAAGCTTATTACTAATATTAATATTATTATTATTATATATAAATAAACTATGTTTAAAATGAGTTACCTTTTAGAGAAGTGATTATATTTGTATGCCAATATTTTCCTATGGTAAAGTTTTCGTTTTGCACTTTTATTTTGATAGTAATAAGATCGGGACTCTTATTTTGAAGGAACTTTTACCGGTTAAATCGGTTTACTGATAAAGATTAAGCCCCAGAAAGCACATGGCTACTTAGCATGCAAAATGACGTCATTCTGCATATTAAGTAGCCATATGCTTTCGTGTTATCGGCTGAATCTTTATGTATTGATTAGATCACGTTACTCTGATGATAGTGTTCAGCCTATATGTCTGAACTCGATGTTTAGAGTAATGTGTTACGGAGCCTTCTCTTCAATATTGTTTCCACATAACGAGCATTTTGCTGCTCTTTTCCAATGTGGAAGCAGAATGTGTGAAAGCATACAGCATGATGCGGGGTGTGTCTCTAGACATCTTTAGACTGGAATAGCGGGGCCCAGTACGTGAACTCGCCTCGCAGCCGGTGCACACGCCAGGATAGAGGACATCAGACTCCAGAGAAAACTTGCTCGAGTCCGAGTCCAAGTCGGAGTGTCAATGTACAAGTCGAGTCCGAGTCATCGTGGGGGGGAACATTCACGAGTCCGAGTCCAAGTCATCGTACGCGATAATTCACGAGTCCGAGTCCGAATCCAAGTCATCGTGTGCGAGAATTCACGAGTCCAAGTCCGAGTCGCGTCAATCAGTGCGCGAGTCCGAGTCGAGTCACGAGTCCCGAAAATCGGCACTCGAGTCCGACTCGAGTCCGAGTCCAGGACTCGAGTGCTCCATCTCGACGCCAAACTCAAACTATATGCTGCTTCTAATAAACATATTAAGAAACACGTGAGTTGTCTGACTGAACAACACACATTAACACACACACACACACACACACACACACCGTGCACACATTAACAGACAACAACACACATTATAACACAACAACACATTACATTACATTACATAGCATTTAGCTGACTCTTTTATCCAAAGAGACTTACAATAAGTGCATTCGACCAAGAAGATACAAACTTGAGGAAAACAGAATCATATAAGTACATCAGGTTTCATAGAGCCAGAACATTTCAAATGCTACTAAACTAGCTTTATGCTGCGTTCACACCGGACGCGATGCGACTATTCGCATCGCTCTAATCGCTCCTATCGCATCGCTCTAATCGCTGGAGTTTCACCGCGGCTGTCAGCTGTGTTTACTCGCATGATTCAAACAAGACGCGCTGGCTCGGGAGCTACAACTACAACAAGATGAACATATTTGACCGTGATGTAATTGTAATACACGTTTCTAAATGATGAAGTAACAACATACTGATACCGGTTAGTAACAACCATGAATTAATGCTTTGACAAGTCTGCAGACAGACGGCAGGAGAAACACCTTTTAAAATGCGTGTTTTCTGAATGAAGATCGGGTCGACCAGGCTAAGCTAACGTTGTATCTGCTCATTCCACACTCATAACAACGGCCTACAGACATAAATAAAGCAGCGACTGTATTCTCCATGACACAGGCAGTCTGTGGTTTGTACTTGTTTCACTTTTGTCCAGTTTCTGAACGGATATGAGGAGCTGTGAGCTCTGTGTGCTAACTGCTAA